GATAAAATAACCCATAGTCACGATAAGCATGACGATCATTTTGCATGCAATTTTAACTAATGACATAAAACAACTCTTTGAACATATTTATATGGTTTGTTTTTGCTGAGAGCTTGAAATGTACTTACAGTACTTGTATTCCCTACAAAATTATTCCCTTCTTGACCTCACGTTACCTTGAGGTTTTTGATTTGTGTCACCTTGGCACTTACGCTATTCGATGTGTAAAGCAAAACCTGTATACGAGAAATTAGGATCTCCATAGCACGTACACACTGCTGCACTCACTCCTGTTGTACTTTCAGTTTTATTGATGTAGTAGAAGTGATCAAGAGCTTGCAAATGGGCTGCTGCAACACTACGCATACGCTACATGTTCAATATAGCCTGCCTGTAATGTTAGGGAATCTCACCATTCTCGTGTTAACCAACCCCATTTGAAAACAGAATGGTTTAAAGCGAAAAAGGTTTCTGAGTCACAATCAAAGTATCTAATTCCCCTTTCACACCAAGGCTTTTCCCATTCTAGCTCCGTGCTAGAGCTTTTCTGGTTCGGATCCGGTTCTTTGGTTCAGCTCCCGCTCTGTTCACACCGCTCAGAGCCCGACTGGTGCTGCGTCACTGCGTCATTGTTTGCGTCATGACGTAACTGTTTGCGTGCCTGCTTCATAAAGCCAAACCGCACGGAACCCCCTCACATCGACAACAACAACAATGACCGATTGTATTGAAGCGTTACTCGTTTTGGTTTTGCTCTGTCGAAACGAAATGGAAGAAATGGGACGACTTTACTACCAACTTTACAGTCGTTACATGCTACATTCAAAAGTTCTTTACAATCATCATCATCAACTTCAACGACGATTCCGTAGGAGAAAGAAGGTAAATATACGTCCTATTCGATGGCGTTAGAGCTAGCTGTTGTTAGCCTCTGCATGCGCCAAGCTCAAAATACCCAGCTTTGCAGCATTAATTACTATGGTATAACATTAAAACTGATGCCCCTGCCCCTGCCCCCGCCTCCGACGTAAGCGTGACGTATGCGGTGCTTGCTTTCTAGACCGACAGCTTTTTTGGTGCTTGAAACAAACCGGATTCTGGAGCTTAGAGGCGGCTCCGCTGCGGTGTGAACAGGAAAAAGCAGACCCTTCACGCAATAGCGAGGGGTAGAGCGAGGGATCGCAGATGCCGTCGTGTACGCGGACGGATTAAAACAATTAAACCTAAATAGCTCGCGAATTATACTTTGGCGGGCGTTAATATACCTGGGTGGCCCGCCCAAGTAAAGTCTATGTGTGGGAAACCCTGCTATCTTACCAGTTCTTATGCAACTCGCAAATATCGCTCTCTCTCTCTCTCTTCTCTATCTCTCTCTTCTCTTTTCTCTAATCTCTCTTTTTTCTCTCTCTCTCAATGTTGGTGCGCAAATACGCCTTTTTTCAAATGATCCGGTGCTCTTTTTTGGCGGGGGGTGCGCATGCGCACCTGCGCACGCGCACCTGCGCACCAGTTATGTGCAGCCCTGTATATAAGATGTCACAACATGGGAGCCAGCAAAATCTATTTCCTTCTTCAAAAAATAAACTCACGGGGAAAAAAAGTGATTTCCCATCTTATCTTCCTCCACAGGAGAGTAGATGAAGGGATCTGAGGGGGAATAATTCCTTGACAAATTAAGTTCGCATCGACAACAAAAGGTTTCCGTATATATCTGAACCAGATCACAAAGTGCAAGATGAAAGAGTTTGGTTCTGGGTATTAAAATGTAATAGATATAGAGACCTTAATGCAAGACAGAATACTCTAAGTGGATATTGTTCAAGACATATCTGTTTTCACACTATACAACCTACCACATCACATTACAATATGTAGGAAATACTGGATTAACACACATTTTCTATGTAGAAACTCTATGTTGTCATTGTTGTTCATATCAAAATGCATATTGCACATGGCACAATAAAAAAACACAAGCTCACACTCAGAGAAAGCAGCCCCCCCTCTCCCAACCACACTCTGACACAGTGAAAAAGTGCTGATGGAACTACCGAATGGAACTACCGTCACCAAAGCTACTGCAGCTTGACACAATGTATGTTTAATCTGGGGTTAAAGCAAATAGAGCGAATACCCAAAATGGTGCCAAGAATGTAAAAGCACTCCGCTGTTATAGAGTAGAGTTGTATTGTGCAAAAATGAAACTTTAAAAGTGCTGTAGTAATGATGAATGATGTACTGCTGAGTCTGGGCATCTGTCAAAAATAATGGATGCTCTGGAGTCACTGAGAGATCCATTGCATATTAAAAGCGGACAAAGTACATATTCCTGCATTTGGTTTGAGCCCACTCTCTTTGATTTGTCAGTTTACCCGAAAGTACTCTTAGGGGTATAATGCACGTATATACATTTTATTCCATTTATTTATATAGTGCCGAATCATAACAGAAGTTATCTCACTTTTCCTATAGAGTACATCCAGACCATATTAATAATATATACAGAGAACTAAAAATTCCCACAAAGGACAGTAGCAAGACATGATGTATATCAAATATAATCAACACGTTTAGTTTTACCTGGGGTAAATGTTCAAGCTATCAAGCAAAAACATATTATCGTTATACATATATATTATTCTGAAATAATGAGTTCTTATTTTACATTAAAGTGGACCTATCATGTAGTGATGTGTCGGTCTTTTAAGTGAACGACAGGAGTCGGCTCGCGCCCGCGAACGAGCCGTTTTTTTGTTTGTTTTTTTGTTAAATAATACAAGACAGAATGATATGATGATCTCCGCGCTACAGCTGCTCCGTGCATGCATGCAGTGACATGTAATATCCAAGGATTAGAGACTGTTGGATGCTGCTGTTTTGAGCATTGCAATACATTTATTTTTATTATGTTTTTTTATGATTAGAGACGGTTGGATGCTGCTGTTTTGAGCATTGCAATATATTTATTTTCACTATGTTATTTATTTATGATTATCCTTAGGCTCAGAAAAGATTTGATGTCAGCTGTTGCTGTCTTTCTTTCTATAGTTAATACTGAAATAGAGCCCTGCTGTTTTGTCAGGGCCTTTTCTTTAAATATAATTTTAAAATGTTGATACAGTAGCCCCTTTTTTTTAAATGCCTATGCTTAAGTTTTTATAGGTGTTGCTATCTGCTTTGTGTAGTGTGGTTCTACAAGCAAGTCAGTGCATTCATTGGGTGGTATATCAGAGAGTTACACAGGTCTGTAAATGCAATGAAAACATTTGGCCACAGCAAATCATTTATATTAAACATCTCATTTTTACTTTTGAATACTTCAGTACAAATGATGTATTGAATAATGTAAGTGATATATGTGTACACATATAAATTATTAGTCAAAACAGGGCTACATTTGATTTCATTATAAAAGGTATAATATGTGGTAAACTGAAGAGGCGTTTGGGAGCCGAAAGAGCCGGCTCTTCTTGGTGAGCCGAGCCAAATGAGCCGGAATTCCCATCACTACTATCATGCTATATTTGAAACATATATTGTAGGGCCATACCTATATAAAACATGTCTGCGAATTTTTTTTTCAAAATACCAAACAGATTATACATTTTAGCCATGCCTCATTTCGCTCTATTTGCTCTTTTCCAGCCCTGTTTTTGCAAGGGCTGATTCTGCTTTTGTGGCAGAAGTTGTATTCCTTTTTCATGTGTGGTGTGCCACATGGCTCAATTGGAAGACCACTCTAGTATTTTGTTTACTCTCAGCAACATCTCTAGCAAAAATAAATTGAACACCACCAAACTTATTTACCAATAACATCAGCGGGAAATCCCAATCTTGTACATGTTGTAGAGGAAACTTCTGTGTAGCTATGCAGTGGGAGTCACCGACTCAGGAAGGAGACACGGTAGGAGCAGTAGCTTTGATGTCAAACACTGATGGTTTATTTGGAGTTACGGCCGGAGGATTCACATCACAAGTCCAAGAGTCAGAGGTTCTGACTTCACGGTAGAGTTGCCACGTCAATTCTGGAGAGCCTCTCTCTTGCCAGCCCATCTAACTGGTTTCGCAGAGAGTAAACAACATATTTGAGAAGATAGCCTAAACAGTGTGGGAACACTGAGCTACTTGCGTCGGACACTTATGACCTTGAAGATTTCACCTTGGAGTCCACAAATACAGAGAAGGAAGTGTCCCAGTGTACCCACAACACAGACCATCTGTGACCCAGTATTGACCGGTCACAGAATGGGAACAATAACATTATTGGCTAAGCAGCCTGTGTCCTTAAAGAAGGTAAACAGACATCAAGGTTTGTCCTGTATGTTACAAATTGGCGTCTATGATAATTATTTCCATAACACATGTCATTTACAGCCTTGATCAGATTTAGTGCTGAATGTCTGATGTTCCTTCATTTTATTGACAAGAAATTGCAACCAATATGAATCAGTGACCTCCTCTTTGTCACTTCATAAAGCAACTTTACCCTGCCTTTATTTTATGCCATTCAATCACATTTGATATATTCAGGTTCACGCCAGAGATCTCCTTCTCTTTATTGTAATAACTTCTCATTGCAGCAATAAGCCTAACAAATTCAAGCAAGCTTGTCCACAATAATTCAATTTGTGCCTCCCTTCACTAGCTCTCAGAATTGGTTTCAAAATTGTAATAATCATACATTAAAGGGTACATTAGGCCTAGGCCCAAGATACATCTGTGAACTCCTGACCCTCTATGAGCAGGCCTGCAGCCTCAGGCCCTCTGGTTAGATTCCCCTTGCTGTGTCTAGGTCCAGGTGAAGGATTTCCTGAGGATTAATCAATATCATTCAATTTCTAATTCCAATCCTTAGGTTCAATGCTTCCTCTCTCAATTGTTTTCTGTCCTAAACTCTTTCATTTCTCATTCTATTTTTCAAGGATCCATCCACCAATCCATGCAGAAAGACGCCACATGATATTGCTATCATTTTAAGTTATCTATGCACCGTGTCCTACCTGTGACTTTGAGTTGAGTCGTTCGTCGCACATGTCTGGAGCCATACTGTAACTCACAGGTGTAATTTCCCTCGTCACCCTCCTCCACCTCAGGAATCCAGACGTGTGTAGTGTTAACAATGATGGAGCTTCTCCATTCAACCCGTTCACACTCCTGAGAAGAGACACATGCTGATGAAGTGGAACAGACTACAGAAGAATAAAAGATGCCTTGAGTCTGTTTCTGTGTCTTACCTTATACCAGGTCATCTGTGGCTGCTTGTATGGAGCCAAATAGTCCCCTATATCAGGACAGATGATCATTTTGTTGTGGGTTATTTCGGCTTTCTCCACGTGTCGGATTTTGCTGCTGAAGCATTTCCCCTCATCGCTCTTGTCCACAGTCATCGACATGGACACTTTCATGCAGTATGTTGAGTTCCTGAAGAGATTAAAAACACAACATTGTCTACATTTTGAATGTGTTCTTTTACTGGACTAATTGATTGTCTCATTTGAAAAGGATAACCACAAATAATGATGTCCCTACTCTACAGTTCCTGTTAGCCCTACATTGTTTTAGCATGTTCAGTTATGCTATTGGTTTTGGAATTGCAGGTCACAATTTGCACTGCTCTTTTGTGTCAGTCGTAGCAAGCATTGTTTTTTTTCAACAGACTCTGATAAAAAAAGAACATTGACATCATACTTGCCCAGGATCAAACAAAAGACACACAAGCTAGCAGGCCAACATAGCGGCTAGCACTCAGGAGCCTAAGAGCCACTGATTTTCCTCAGAACATTACTGAAGAGTGGTTAACAGGCAAGTCAATATTGGAATTACAATTATCAGGTACCCAGAGTCTCGACTCCACATAATAATAATAAATAATAAAATGTTTTTTTTGTGACATAGTGTCATAAAGCCACATGTTTCCACCAGGTTAGCACACCTAATGCAATCATGGCTCTTAATTGGATCAGGTATGCAAGAACAGAACTAAAGCACAAACTTAAAAGACAGGTAGGCTCTGTGGAAAATGTGTCGTGTTTGTAATGGAGCATTGCTGGAGGATATAGATAACACAGTACATCCATCCTTGAAGTTACTTGTTTCTTGTGATGTGTTTGACACAATGTGTTTAAAAAATTGCTTTGTATTTGAAGTCCCAAAATCTGCTCAAGGTGATGGTAATTGTTTTTTGTGTGTCAGTGTGTGAGATTGCGAGAGTGTGCGTGTAGCCTTTGCTGTGTGTATTCTCCCAAGTTGACCTCCAGACACAAAGCACCTCATTGATCTCTCTTTCTTTTTCTCCCACACATGCACAGGACCTGCCCTACCTATAACCTCTCATCTAAGTGAATCTGCCACTTATTCAATCAGTTCTGTGTGTGTGTGTGTGTGTGTGTGTGTGTGTGTGTGTGTGTGTGTGTGTGGTGTGTGTGTGTGTGTGGTGTGTGTGTGTGTGTGTGGTGTGTGTGTGTGTGTGTGTGTGTGTGTGTGTGTGTCATGCAGGAGGAGTTTTTCAGTCATTGACCTAAACGGGACCACTGAGCATTGAACTTGAGGCCTGGAAAGCCTTTTATCCATCCATACATCTCTCTATGTCTCGCCTCCTCATCAATCCATCTCCAGCCTGCAGCATGTTGTTTTCTCCTCCAGTGATTTGGTTACCTTTCCTTGTATGCTCCTGTGGCTCTCTCTCTCTCTCTCTCTCTCTCTCTCTCTCTCTCTCTCTCTCTCTCTCTCTCTCTCTCTGTGTCACTCTCACACACACAAATCATCCAGCATTTTATGAACCCCTCACATTTGACTTATTTGTCCCCCAAACCATAACCAGTATTACATTTGTCAAAGCAATGAATGGTTAAATATACTACAATATATTCAAATTTAGAAAGACGTAAGAAAAAACATATTTGTAATGGTATGGATTCATGAACTTCTGAAATAAACCCATCCATTCAAACTGAGGACATATAATACAATCAAATTCAAATAAAACAACTCTGACTCAATTGTTCATCATGTAGAGGTAATAATGAGTGTGATATGCAGGGGGGTGCCCATCTAAATCTTACTGTTAACAGTTATGAAGTGTTCAAATTATCAATGGAACAAATTACTGCTGCATTTAATAAAAAAACACAATAATAGAAACTAGCCTGGGATCCAGACGCTGTTTCCATTATAATTTCAACCGTGACAATATGATTTTTGCACCGTTTAGTTCTAAGGTCTGTTAGCAACCGAAAAAATGTTTTTGTATAGTAGCACACTGGTTTGCAGTTCCTAGTTGGAGTGAAAACAACCACTGCTGCACTGAAGAAAAAGTATTAGCCCGAGTAACTCTCAAAATACTCCCTATTGCCACATTGGCATCCGGCCGACAGCCAATCATTTAAAATCTTGTATTTTAGTGGACGAGTCACAAGTCTTAAAGCTAATAAAGATTTGCAAAAATTGGTAAATGGTAAGTTAACTGCATTTATATAGTACTTTTCCAGTCCTATATGACCCATAAGGGCACTTTTAAATATACAGGTCAGCAATGACCCACTCACACACATTCATACAAAGTCAGGGGCTGCCATACAAGGGGCCTCCTGCTCAGGTAGACTAACATTCACACACATTCAAACACTGTTGGACATACCACCGGGGCCAAAAAGGCTCTAAAAATGTTTCCCAAGGATATGATTTCATCTTGCCTGCAGGGGCTGAGAATCAAACCACTGACCTACGGATTGTTCCCTATATTGCCCCTATGCCCTGTAAGGTGTCCTTGGGTGTTATGAAAGGCGCCCCCCAAATATTATTATTATTATTATTGGATTCTACCTCATAGCCACAGTCGCTAAACAATGAATGTGTCTTACCTCTACTTGTTAGTTATACAAGTAGTGGGAAATCTGCATGTGGATTATGAATTAAGTGGTAAACCTCCACATGCATGAAATACACTGATGAAATATCTTTATTCAAACAGTCCAAATGCTTGATCAAAAAGGAACAGAAACAAACAGACTGACACATCCAAGAGCCGAAAGGGATTTTATGTTAACACATTCTTTCATCTGGTTGCTTTGATGATATTGTTCTTTACATGCATGCCAGTACCTCACATTGAATTGTAATGAGCTAAAAAAGGGAGAACTAATATAGCTTCCTCTTGTTTTTTCTCTGATGTGTCCCGTCTCTTTTTCACCATTGTACCAGCCTTTGTCACGGTCTCCCCCCCACTGCCTGTCCAACCCAGAAGCCAGAAGCCTAACACTAAACTGAAAAAGCAGCATCTATGTAAAGATGAATGTATTATGCATATCTCACCATAAACATGACGATTCCATTAGACGGTGATGCAAACGCTGTGTCAGTAGCATTTAGCGCATGCTCTGCACCTCTTACAGATGCAAATTGTGCATCTATGAGTGGGTGTGTTTACATATGTGGAAACATTTAAAGGCTTCAGTTAGTAAACTGGCCCTGAAGGAAAACCTATTTTATTCAAAAGCTGCCATGCTCTAATGATAAAAAGGTCTTCACACTTCAAATACTGAAGTTATCTCGATGTTCACACTACGCCGATATAACATTTTTCATTATTAATTAACTTTAGGCCTTTTTTGAGAACAAGTTTGGATTTTGGGGGGCGTTACCAGCTGGTTCCGATTTCCTTAAGTTTACATATTGTGAGAAGTCTTTGGTAAGACAGATAATACGATACGATACAATATACTTTATTGTCCCCGTAAGGACATTTGTTCTGGACTCCGTCCTGCAGTTCAGCATACATGTACATATACAAACATAGTGGACATTAAGAGACATACACATATCATCAGTCATACACCGTTTGAACAAACACAATACACAGACGCACATACTGATAATGGCGACCTATTGCACTACCCCTCATGGCCAACATTTAAAAAGTACATTTCATTACATTTGACTTCGACTACATTTCATTTCATGTGAATGTTAAGAAGCTTAATGGACATAGGTAGGAATGAGTGCTTATAGCGGTTCAGCCTGCTCTTGGGGACCCTGAATCTTCTACCAGAAGGTAGGATCTGGAATTCTGGGTGGAGTATGTGGGTGGGATCAGACACAATTTTGTTTGCCTGTCTGATAATGTACTGCTCGTATATGTTTTGGAGAGATGGGTGTTTTTTAACCCCCATAATTTTCATAGCAGTCTGTACCAGGCGAGCGATCTGTGACTTTGACTGCACTGTCAAGTTACCGTACCAGGCAGTGATACCATACCTAATGATGCTCTCCAACACTGCATGATAGAACAGTAACATGGACTTCTGGTCGACTCCGAAAGCCCGGAGTCGACGCAGAAAGTACAATCGCTGTTGAAGTCTAGAGCACAGACCTTGAACATGCGCCTTCCAGCTGAGTGTATTATCTAGATGGACACCAAGGTACTTATAGGAGCTGACCTGAGTTATGGGTTCATTGTGGATAACCACCGGCCTAAGGTCACCCACTGCCTTTGGGTCCCACACCATCTCCTCAGTCTTCTTCACATTCAGCACTAGATGGTTAAAATCACACCACTGCACACATCTCTCTATTTCAGAGTGATAAGCCGATGAACTGCTGCCTTTGTGCATTAAGTCAAGGATGGCTGTATCATCTGAGAATTTAATGATGTAATTCTCCGGGTGGATTCTCGTACAGTCGTTTGTGTACAGTGTGAAGAGGACCGGGGAGCTCACACAACCCTGGGGGGGCTCCTGTACTGATGGTCCGGGGCTCTGAGAGGGCATTGTTGACCCTGACATGCTGAGTGTGATTGGTTAAAAACGAAAAATACCATTTCAAGATAAAAGGATTTATACTGATCTTTATCAGTTTTTGAAGCAAGATGTGAGGCTGCAGTGTGTTAAAAGCCGAGCTGAAATCCACAAACAGTAGGCGTACATATGCCTTAGGGTCTTCCAGGTGTGTGATGCTATTTAGAGCATCGTCTGTGCCACGCCCTTGCTTGTAGGCAAACTGAAAAGGGTCTAAATGTACATCAACCTCTTTCTTTAGCACCATGATCCTCTCACAACATTTCATGACAATGGATGTCAATGCAACAGGCCTAAAATCATTGTTTACCTTTGGACAAGGTTTTATGGGGACAGGTTTTATTATTGATTTTTTCCAGAGGGTGGGGATGGTGTGAAGATCAACAGATTTTTGAAATATGGGACACCATGCTGATGGCAGTTCTTCTGCAAATGTCTTGAGAAGGAATGCAGAGATGCCACCTGGCCCTGTGGCCTTCTTAGTACAGGTGTGTTTAAAAAGTGATTGCACCTTTAAAGGGTCAATCACCACCCTTTCATCCTGGTCAGTAGCAGAGATTGTCTCTAAGATGTCTGTACATTCAGAGGAGTAGTCCTGGGTTTCAAATCTCATGAAAAAGTCATTCAGTT